GATGGTTTACATGGTCACCTTGAATGCCTTTGTTTTGCATATTTTTGTGTTGCAGCAATAGTTCCTTTTGATTGTAGACGTAATGGGAAGGACAGGCTATAGATACATCAAGAACTCTGGAATGTATCCCTCGCAAAGTAAGTTTTCGAGGGAAGCCACCGACCAGATAGGCCCAAGTTGGACCGGCTGAAACCTCAGCTAGTAATGAATGATGGACGTGAACTTTGCGAATGAAGCTGTCGCAAACCAAACCAACATATTGCTGGGGTCTGGACGATGAGCGAAGATAGCTCGTCTAATTACGCTAAGTAAGTAAGTATTAGAGCCAAATTTTAGGCAATTAGCATAGGAGAACATTAGAATGAGTTTTTGTAAATTTGTAATGCTCTGTTTCCGTTAAAACTATGATGCAGCCAAATGATACGATGCAACTTGCTCGTCCTTTCTGGTATTGTTAACGATTTGGCTTAGAGCCTTCATTAGATTCAAATTGCAATACTTCCATCATATGGATCATGAGCAGATGCGACAGAAGATACAATGTTATTAATTAGCTCGTTATAAAAATGTTTCCTACTGTATATACATGATATAAAGCTTTCTGTAAATACCTTAGTAGCTTGGAAAACCATCACTCTCAACAAAACAAAAGAAATATACCTTTGAAGACCAAAGTTGAGGACGTCGTAATCAAAACAAAGAATTCATTTATCACAATCTCTCTTGCCTAACAGCAGTTAACTTAATTGGGAAAAAAATTATCTATTCACAGAGTATTAAACAAGAATATTCAATAATTAAGACTTAGCACATGTACGTTGAAGGAGTCGATGAATGATAAGAGGAACGCAAAAATGAGCAATTTTGAAGTTATTTAAGGCAGTCATCTGCAGACCACAATAGTTTGCAATAAACCTTCATTTCTCCTTTTTAATAACAGCTTCTCCAGGAATTCTTGAGAGGCTTATGCTAATATCCGTACGCAGAAGAAACACAGCATACGTTGGTCATTTCCAGAAAATATAGCAAAGACAATTTCTGCATCTAATAGCAGTAAGACATGTACAAGTAAGTGAAAACAAGAGCTGTGTCAAATAAAAGCAAAATATAGGAGCGTATTTTGGAGAATCACAAAATCGACTCAATTTATTCATATCATGACAACGCAATTCTATTAACAATACATA